CTTGGAGAGGCCTCAGCTGGGACCAGCGTTGAACTGGCAGGGCTGACACAGTGGGGTGACGTCCATCACTACCCAGGAAGGACGCAGAGACCCTCTCCAGTCCTGAAAATCAGTGCTCACTGCACAGCGCTCACCTCTGAAGCAGATAGCAAAACCCAGAAAGCATTTATAGCTAAAAAGTATAATACTTAACATTTGAAACAGTTAACTTAGACAAATCTTTAGGTCCTATCCAAACCACCCATCTCCAAACCTGGAGGTGAGATAGGCAGCAGGGTCTCCTCCCAAAGCAACAACACACTGAAAGAGCCAGGAAAGGGCAGCCTACAGAGGCCAGACACAGTCTGCAGCACTAATGGCCTGCTCTCTTCAACAAAAATACTGCCAGGAAAGAAAAAAAAGAAGAAGAAGAAGAAGGAGGAGAGGACCTCCTAGAGATTATGAGAGCTGAGAGTTATTATTAATCCATTGCAATGTATGCACCTTCATTGGATCCCAATTCAGACAAACAGACTGTAAAGAAAGAAATTAGTAAATAATTAGGGAAACGTGAACACTGACCAGCTATATGATGATATCAAAGAAACCGCTGGGTTTTTTAAGAGTGATGATGGTACTGTGGTTATGTTGTTCAAGAGTCCTTATTGTTAGAGCTGCATACAGAAATATTTACAGATGAAACGCCATGACATCTGATTTTCTTCTAAATCCCCAGCGTGGATGGGAAGTGGACAGGTATGGGTGTACCATGACCATCTGGAAGTTGGTAACTGTTGACACTGGAGATAGGTACATGGGGCATCACTATACAGAAGTAGAGAGAACAGTGTGTTGTTGTTGTTATGTGCCGTGGAGTCAGACCCGACTCATAGCGGCCCCTCCTTGGGTTTCCGAGGCAGTATCACTACGGAAGTAGGAACGCCCAACCTTCCTTCCGAGGAGTGGCTGGTGGGTTTGAACCGCCAGCCTTCTGGTTAGCAGTCAAGTGCCTTAGGCACTATGCTACCAGAGAGAACAGTGGAAGCACGAAATTCTTCATAATAAAAAAAGCTAAGTAAGAAAGAAAAGAAGAGCCATTATCCCAGACCTGGACCTCACGGGGCTCCACTAAGGGCCAATCGGAGAGGTTTGATGGGAGAAACTAACATTTCCATTCGGTGAGGCATTTTATTACCCTCAGATTTTTTTCTTTTCTAGTGTCTGTCTCTGGGGAGGTCTGAAGACACCAGTTCAGCCCCAGTGCACTTGTAGAGCCTTGGGAGACAGTCTCGGCACCATTTCTAGATGAACATGGCCAGCCTTCCTCAAACAGCAGAGGCCTCCAGGCCTGGCCCTGCACTCCGCCGCTATCCTACCCTGGGACACACCCTTCGGGTGGAAGGACATCACTAGAAAATGTCCATCCTCCTCCCCATTCCAGTTCTCCTTGGCCCCTACCTTGACCTCTCTTTCAGAACACAGACACACACTCTGCCAGCCTCCTTCCCAGCAGGAAGATGGCACTCAGTGGCACTCATGGCAGCTGCAATGTTCTCTGGGAGACCTTTTAGACCCCGTATTTTGGGAATGGAGCTGCCCGTGTCACCCACGTCACACACATCCTTCATTCCCTCTCTATGACAACAGCCTTTTGAAGCCTCATCTGGGGTATGACCAGAGCACCTAAAAGTGAAGCCATGCCCTTCGCCCATTTACCACCATGTCCTGTTCACCCAAAAGGAGCTCTGGTGGCATAGAGAATAAGGCATTTGCCTGCTAACCAAAATGTCTGAGGTTCAAGCCCATCAGCTGCTCCACGGGAGGAAGAGGGGACAATCTACTTCCATAAAGATTTACTGCCTCAAAAACTCAATGGGGGTCACTATGAGTCAAAATCAACTCCATGGCAGAGTTTGTTTGGTTTTTCCTGTTCACCCAAACCCATTACTACTAGCTCAGTCCATATTCTGTCCTCACCCCAGTTTTAAGGGTTGAAAAGGTACTTCTTTTAGATCCAAAACAACTCTTCTTGAGTCTTTTCCACCCCACTAGCTGCCCAGTTTATTTATACTGGGAGGAAGGGTGGCATAGTGCCTAAGGCATTTGACTGCTAACCAGAAGGATGGCGGTTCAAACCCACCAGCCACTTCTCGGACGGAAGACTGGGCAATCTACTACCACAGACATACCGCCTCGGAAACCCAAGGAGGGGTTGCTAGGAGTCGGATCTGACTCAATGGTAGTGAGCTTGGATTTTGGTTTTTTGTGGGAGGAAGGGGCAGTGGCCTTGAAGAGCACGCCAGTAGGCATGGCCCTGGGGAAAGTCACACCATCAGATCACTGCTGTGTTGGTGGCTGAGCCAGGGAAGACATTTTCTAGCAGATTGGGTCAGTCCAGGAAGGTAATGACGCGGCACATACTCTGTGAATCAGGCCTAACTACCCGCTCTTCTCAGGATGAACAAACGAGGCCCACTTGCGGCCCCACCACACCTTGCCTCAACTTTCCCGCAAGCCACGTTCAAATTAAAGCAGCTTTAGTCTGAAAAATCCTACTTCGATTGAAACTCTCTGGTGTCTAGGCAGCTGAATTATAGAAAAAAATGTCCTCACTTCTCTACCCCACTTTTGTCGAGGACAGGGCCTCAGCCACATCAGAGGCGGCCCTGGCCGGATTCGATGGGGCAGGAATTCAGTCATATTCCTGAGATGATCTCATTAGTTGTGTGTGTTGGGGATAGGGAGACAGTCCTCTCTTCCCTTTCCCCCTCCACCTCCTGGCCAGTCCAAGAGCCAGAAGGTAGGCCAGGAAGCGTCTCCTTCATCATGTACACTTCATCCTACGCTGGCAGCAGTCAAGAATTTGGCCTAAAATAAAAGAGGCCAGGGAAACAACTTCTTCCCACCCCAAGGATTCAGCTAGAAAAGCAGGGTAGCCGGAAGCCTTCTGAGGAGGAAGATGAGTGTTGATTTTCATTTTAGGAGCTCTTGGGATCCTAGTCCTTCAATCGGAAGGTGCAGGATCCCTTCCAGAGGCACAGCGTGACAGACCCCACGGCAAGCCTGAGCTCCCACACTGCCCGCAGGCTACCTCCAACACGGTGGGCACACCTTCCCGACTCTGTCTTGCTGTGTAGACAGCAAATGAGGTATAACTTATCCTTTTTTTAAATCCCTTTTCCAAAAAGAAAAGGAATTCAAATTGAGGGGGCGGTTTGGTAGCTGGTCCTTCTGTGTGAGGGTCTTTCAGGCCAAGAAAGAACCCGGGAGGAAGAACCTGTGTGTACTGCCTCCAGCCACCTACTGGAACCACCTCAGAAGGAAAGAGAACAAGCAAGCAGACAGACCACGAAAATACTGCCTTCTCCTGAGTTCTCCAGCCCACCGACCCTCCATGCTAATTTCTGTTGGGATTATGGTCCTGACGCAATGCTGAAAGCCCCCCATCCCCCCATTTCATTTCTGGGTTCAGTCATATCACTCCTCCCAACTTGCTAACCAGGCAAGGCAGTGACCTTCACCATTTTTCGAGTCTCTCTCTCTTTTTTTTTTTTTTTTT